CACACACAAATCGACACACACAGGCAGACACACACAGACAGACAAACAGTGGTCAATATATATATATATATATATATATATATATATATATATATATATACAGGGTGCGGCTGGTATTTGAGGACATACAGATTTAAGATTAATACCGCTTCCCACTAACTTCTAATGATTTTTTTTTTTCAGAAATCAAGAATGGCAAACCCTATAATAACAAATTAAATGAAAAAGCATGATGTAATTATTGCATTAAAATCTGATCACAACGATTTGGATATTGCACGTTTCCTCAGAGTTGCAAGATCGTTTGTCCACAAGATACGAAAAGAGTTAGGAGACGCTGACAGTTCCACCAATATCTGTATCAAAACGTAAAAGACATTCAGCACGTTCTGATAAAGTGAGAACATCCGAATTTATTCAGGAAGACAAGCAGACAATTGATGAAAACTGAGGTCAATCAATGAGGTCATTTTTTTTCCACAAGGTCTTAGAGTAAATGCTGCTCACGTCGAGGTTCTAGAAACAGTTGTCAAATCCTGGGTTGACAACATATGCAACGGCAGGCTTTACATATTCCAGCAAGACAAAAATATTAATGTCAAAAATGAGGACGTAACAAAAAAGACAAGTTACTTTTATTTTCTTTACCGCACCGTAATTTTTTTTTTAAAGGAATAATTATCTGTAATACTTTTTTTTATATCTCGATGTTTACTTCTGGGTAAATTGCTAGTGTTCATATCTGGAATCTTTTATATTAATTTTCTGCCTCTGTAAAACCTTTAAATTTAAGTTCCAAGCTGTTATAGTGAAACACACCTATTCTATTGTTAATAGACTCTCCCACCTTTAATAAATAGGTGTAGTAGCAGTCGCTCAGGGAGTGAGTGGCTCAGTGAGTTGGTCAGTCAGTCGATGTCGGACATTAAAGTATCAGCCACCACAACTAGATTGCTGCGTCATTAACTATTATATCAAGTTACTAACGTTTTGTACGTCGAACCTTTTTAGGACCGACTTAGTGAAATACAAGCCTCCACCGTGAAACTACTCTACAACACAAGCACAAACTTCTGAAAGTTTGTAAATTAGGGAACAATGCATATGACATCCATAAAAAGAGAAAATTCTTGGTCGAAGTGAAAGAAACATGTATTTTTTTAAACTTTCTCTCGACATTAAAAAAACAAAATAAATTGATAAAACCGAACAACATCCAGAAAATTTTGATATGGTATTCTTCCAAAAATATACTACTGATCGATATTATTTTTATACTATCTTAACAAACAACGTCTTGTTTCAGGCATGTCCTAATGAGGAACTAACTTTTCACGAGCATTTTAAAGACCCTAAACTCCGCCAATTGAATTACAACAAAGGCAGTAGTAACAGCAAATTGTGTTACACCCTTTGTCAACCATGACACGAAGCTTAAAAAAAGCTGAACTTTGATAAAAAAAAAACTTAAAATAAACATGAATATTCCCTCTACTTATTTATCTGTCGACAAATATGACACTCCATGGCTTGACATCGTTTTTTTTTCTCTACTTCGATGACATCAAATAATAAACTACCCTTCCAGCTTCCAAGGCATTCCTAAGGATGCTTTCTTTACTGTTTCTTTGTTTTCCTTCTTAGTATAATTTTAATGTTTCTGATTTTATATTCCGTTCATCTTGATTATGCGTAGGTTTTAGTATTCATTTAAGCAGAGCTCATTATTCATCTGTTTGTAACGTTTTATCCAAAACATCATCGCAGAACGATTCCCTAGCCGTTAACGACAAGAATCCATTATTAAAAAAAAAAACGTCTTCGAATCTGAATAATTCACATGATTTGATACGGCATACTGGACATGTTTTCCTCATTCGCCTACAAGCAAAAGCTGCTGTGATCAGAGCGAGTCCTTCTCATTTTCTTTGGAAGCAACATATTTGATTGATAGATTAACGGAATTAGCTTTGTTTTCTTTCGATTTTGATCTCATTTGTATTTAATATTTTCTGTGGCTTCCAGATTGTTAAAGAAAATGTTATTAGTTAGTCTTTGTCGACAAATAAATAGGTAGAAGGAATATCCATTTGCAAGAGAAAACACAGAGGCGGAGAGATTAGATAGAGAAAATCATACAGTCATACATACCTACTCTTATGACGTCAACGTACACTTGTTACCAGTTTTATGATGCCAACGAATACCCTTTGTCACACTTGTAATACTCGTTGTAGTAGAGTTTTTGTAATCGCAGATAATGGGAGAGGGTCCAATAATTTTTATCTATTTTAAATAGTCCGAATAATGTAAATAGTGTACATAATACCTCATCTCAGAAATATAGACAGATACTGAATGGGCCGGAACGTTGTAATAAATATGGCGACAAAGATGAGGACAATAGTCCGAATAATGTAAATAGTGTACATAATACCTCATCTCAGAAATATAGACAGATACTGAAAGGGGGAAACGTTGTAATAAATATGGCGACAAAGATGAGGACAATAGTCCGAATAATGTAAATAGTGTACATAATACCTCATCTCAGAAATATAGACAGATACTGAAAGGGGGAAACGTTGTAATAAATATGGCGACAAAGATGAGGACAATAGTCCGAATAATGTAAATAGTGTACATAATATCTCATCTAAGAAATATAGACAGATACTGAAAGGGCGAAACGTTGTAATAAATATGGTGACAAAGATGAGGACAATAGTCCGAATAATGTAAATAGTGTACATAATACCTCATCTCAGAAATATAGACAGAAACTGAAAGGGCGAAACGTTGTAATAAATATAGCAACAAAGATGAGGAGAATAGTCCGAATAATGTAAATAGTGTACATAATACCTCATCTCAGAAATATAGACAGATACTGAAGGGCCGGGACGTTGTAATAAATATGGCGACAAAGATGAGGACAATAGTCCGAATAATGTAAATAGTCTACATAATACCCAGTCACTGCCAACCATAACATCTCTAAACAAGATGATTTTATCTATCTCAGATTCTTCGTATATCTCCGTCTATCTATCTATCTATCTATCTATCTATCTATCTATCTATATATGCCTCTTTGATATTTCGGAGTTTCTTGATCTATCTATCTATCTATCTATCTATCTATCTATCTATCTATCTATGCCTCTTAGTATTTTCCAGTTTCTTTATCTATCTATCTATCTATCTATCTATCTATCTATCTATCTATCTATCTATGCCTCTTTGTATTTCCAGTTTCTTGATCTATCTATCTATCTATCTATCTATTTATCTATATATATATATATATATATATATATAGATAGATAGATAGATAGATAGATATATCTATGCCACTTTGTATTTTCCAGTTTCTTGATCTATCTATTTATCTATCTATCTTCGTCTATTTCAGTCACTTCATCTATTTATCTATGTATCAGATACAAGAATAAACATTCCGCACTTTATTAGAGAGAAGGGGAGAGAGTTAGAGAGAGAGAGAGAGAGAGAATGAGATAAGTGAGTGAGTGAGTGAATGAGTGTACTCTATATAAAGAGAATCACCTACGTGTGAGGTACAGATAACCTCTAGTCCCGACCCACATTAGACTTCTTCACTCTGATGATTACTTTTCAGCCCACCCTCGTAGAACTGATACAAAGACACACGAGCAAATTCTTCGAATATGCGACCGTGTAATTATTTCCAGTCGTTATTTTTTTTCCCTTTTTCTTGCACTGCAAAGAACATAATCCAAGAGTGAAGTAAAGGAAGCTGTTAATGTGTTACCGTTACAAGGCACCTTTGGAATGGTTCAGTGTATTATGCACATAAGCGTAAAAGGTGCGATCAAATTTCGCCTTTTATTATGGCATTTGATCGTATTTCTAGAATCATTAAAGTGGTTTTAGCCAAGAATAATTGTAATCAGATTTGAACCAGAAATGCACATCACAAATGAATGTGAGATTTAGACGATGTCTCTTCAGTCTTAAATATTTATTTAAGCATTTATCAGCCATCAAAGAAATCTATCTATCTATCTATCTATCTATCTATCTATCTATCTATCTATCTCAATCTCTTCTCATATCTCAGCCTCTTCATCTATCTATCTATCTATCTATCTATCTATCTATCTATCTATCTATCTATCTCAATCTCTTCTTATATCTATCTATCTATCTATCTATCTATCTATCTATCTATCTATCTATCTATCTCTTCTTATATCTCAGCCTATCTATCTATCTATCTCAATCTCTTCTCATATCTCAGCCTCTTCATCTATCTATCTATCTATCTATCTATCTATCTATATATATATATTCTCATATCTCTGTCTCTTTATCTATCTATCTATCTCTCTCTATATATATATATATATCTTCTCATATCTCTGTCTCTATTATCTATCTATCTATCTATCTATCTATCTATCTCTAAATATATATATCTTCTCATATCTCTGTCTCTTTATCTATCTATCTATCTATCTATCTATCTATAAATATATATATCTTCTCATATCTCAGTCTCTTTATCTATCTATCTATCTATCTATCTATCTATCTCAATCTCATATGTCAGTCTCTTTATCTATCTATCTATCTATCTCTCTCTCTCTCTCTCTCTCTCTATATATATATATATATATATATATATATATATATATATATATCTTCTCTTATCTCAGTCTCTTTATCTATCTATCTATCTATCTATCTATCTATCTATCTATGTTATGCAAAATGGAAAATAGTTTTATCTATAGTAAGATCGGCAGTTGTTACTCGACCAGTTCAAAGTATGGTGTGAAAATAAAAATAACGTGTCGGTATTTCTCTTTTATTTTTATGTGCCCTATCTTTTCAGGATGTAGGCGATCATGGCTCTCCACCTCCCTCTATCCCTTGCAGCTCCCAACACGTTCCTTCCCTCTCCTTCCTCCCTCAGACCACGTTCTGTCATCCACTTGCTTAAAGCCGCCAGGTAAGTCACACATTGTTTTCCCTTCTCTCTTTTCCCCTCTATTCGACCCGTGAGGATTAGATTTATGTGTCCCAGAAACTTCAGCTGTATCTTCCTGACGCTAGGTATAAGCCTGCTCCTTGTCTGCAACCTCTCTAAGACCTCATCGTTGCTCACTCGCTCGGTACATTATATCCTTAGCATCCTTCTGTAGAACCACATCTTTGTCGCCTCGAGTCTCTTCTTCATCTTTGAGGAAATCGTCCAACATTTGCTGCCGTAAAGAAGGACAGATGTCACGTAACAGTTCAGTATTCTTTTCTTTGTTACCAAAGAAATCCTCCTGTCTTGCAGTTCTCTGCCCAGGTTTTCGAATATGTCCTTGGCCATCCAAATACGTCTACGGATCTAAGTGTCGCATTTACCGTCCTCTGTCAAGGCGCTTCCAGGTTTTCAAACTTCCGCATCTGCTTGATTCTAGTGTTTCCGGCCTTTAGTAGAATCATTAAAATAAAGAATGGAATCCATTATCCTCCATATATTTCCAGAAGCTTTGCAACGAATGCCAAAAATATGTGTTTCAGTAAACAAAACTAAAGGACTATATATAGCCTCGGGTGGCAACTCGTCTAGGAAAAGGAGAATTCTCAATTCAAAACCTGCGGAGGTTTGTTTGGGGACATTGTGGTACGTAGTGCACCAGGTCTCTCTATTCGACCCTTCAAAAAGTGTGGATGGTTCTGCATAATGCCTAAACCACTATAATCAAACCATACTTCCATGGTAACTACTCTGACGAACTGCTTTCACTGGTTCCCAGACTCCATGAATTTAAGCGCCCTACGAGGCTGGCATCCCACTCCCACACTTACACCATAGAAACTAACAAATGTAGCCGTCTCTTCTACTCCAATAGCTTCATACCTCGCACCACTCACCTGTGGAACACCCTTCCCTATTGCTGTTTCCCTGAGAGCTATAATCCCCAACTATTCAAATGTAATGTCAATCGACATCTCCAGTTGCCTTGATCTATCCACTATCTTCATCCTTTCTTCTATCACTCCTATCTGCTCTCGCTCCAAATCTTCCGCAACCCCCTGCATCCTAGTGGCTTCACGCCTTGCTTGGGGCGTAATGTAAAAAATGTGCATGTATCTGACTGTCGGTTCCTAAGAACTGAGTTGCTTGACCCTCATACGTCGAAAAAAAGACGGGAGAGTCACACACACACACACACACACACACACACACACACACACACACACACACACACACACATATATATATATATATATATATATATATATATATATCATAAAGTAATTGATTTAAAATATGTTTTTTTTCCGTTACACAGTTCTAACCATGTTTCAAATATTAGAACTGTGTAGCGGAAAAAACATATTTTAAATCAGTTAATTTATAATATTAATGCTCTGTAAATTTACATTGAGCACTATTTTGTAAAAATAAAAATATCTATAAGAACACCGGATTATATATCTTACTGTTCTTTCTTTCTTATATATATATATATATATATATATATATATATATATATATATATATATATATAATTTAAACAAATCATACCATTTTAAGGCTCCATTTGTAATAATGTATTTCTCCAGAGAATTTTATTTTTCCCTGGATCTTCAGACTTCACATTCAAAAGGTGAAATATATATATATATATATATATATATATATATATATATATATATATATATATATATATACGTCAAAGATATCCTCCTGTCTTGCAGGGATTTAGAAATGAATAAAACTGAAGATTACTGATTTTTCGTGAATCTATAGGATTTGTTTTCTATCACTGGGTCAGTAACCGACGAAGCAAACTCGACCTCGTTAAACTAGAAATGTTTATATTAAAAGGACATCCTATATCCGTTGGTCAAATAAAATTCTCTTGCGTGTTTAACAAATTGAACAGAGGATTGAGCGAAATTTTGATAGAAATACATCAAAGAGAAAGTAATCGATAGTAGAAATGTATTAGGTTGAGTCAATGGTTAACAATCCGAAACGACCATTCTTAATAAATAAAAAGGAAAGAAAAGAAGCCTAATTACATTTTATTCAATGATATATCTGCTTTTATTTGCAAGGATGCGTTGGCAGTTATCAGGAAGCTCCTCAATAAAATTTGGATAGAATTCTGCAGAATTTCCGTCGAAATATTTTCTAAATCTTGAACCTGTTTTTTCTTTGACAAAGATTTCCCCACGAAAGCGTTTTGCAGCGACCAAGAAATTTAATAATTTGTTGGTACATCTAGTTAAGAAAATGACCTTTAAAACCTTTCTGAATAATATCATTAGATAGATAGATAGACGAAGAGATTGAGATATATCGAAGAAGCATAGATAGATAGATAGATAGATAGATAGATAGATAGATAGATAGATGAAGAAATTGAGATATGCGAATAAGCATATATAGAATGATAGGTAGGTAGATAGATAGATAGATAGATAGATAAAGAAACTGAGATATACGAAGAAGCATAGATAGATAGATAGAGAGATAGATAGACGAAGAGATTGAGATATACGGATAAGCATAGATAGATAGATAGATAGATAGACGCCAAAACTGGGATATACGAAAAAGCATAGATAGATAGTGTGTAAACCCCTCTCTCGAGGGGTTTGCGACGCATCTATTTATCATCTCTTAGTTGCGTCTCTGTCTTTGGGCAGAGTGCACTCTGGGGCGACTTCGTCTGTGACGTCCCTAAACACAGCCTTCGCTCGCTCCTCGCTGCTTCGTTCGGGTGTCGCCGCTCCAAACGTGACGTTCGCCTGTTTGCGTCAGTCGTGTTGTCCTGTGACGACCAACTGGCTAGGTATCGGTCGCGGCACCCAAATGTGACGTTCTAACCTTTTGGTGATTCAGATGGGAATCTGGTTAGATTCGATATCAGCCTCGTCGTTCCCAACTCACTTCCAACGTCTGGTTACCAAAGTAACTGCATTGATCTCCAGTCTGCCTACCCACGTTGTGAATTGATCTTAGGCAGACGAAATCAATCAGTAGTTGGGGCCGTAATGCAAATCGAGTTCAACGAGGGTGACACCACACAAATATGCATAAAAGAAAATAAAATGATAACTCAAAAGTTCAAGGTATCAAAAAAAAAGGATAACAAAATTTTATGTCTAGTTGCTGGATACATAGGACTGCGTCTATCTCCCGACCCGTTATATGGATTGTGACACGTTGTTTGTTGTTAGGCGAGTTTTAACACTTTAAGTTGTCTGTTCTTCAAGAAATTGGTTCTTGGTGTGTCTTCAGGCGAAAGTCGAAAAACTTATTTTGGTGGTCTGGATCTAAGTCGATCTTCAAAATAATTGTTCTTGGATTGAAGATGAGTTCGGAAGATGCGCGAATGTTAGACAGCTGCGAGGCCTGCTTCAACTGAGCACTCTCTCTGGAACTCTCTGAACTGAACTGATTTTCGCTCGCTGCGACTTTGCTTATATGGACGCCGATCAAAACCGGGGTGGGTTTTGTCGTCGTCGGAGGTTCCTCGATAATTCTAAATACATATCCACTTCTTTTGTTTTTGGTTAGGAATTTTCCACTTCTTTCCATTTTTGGGAGTCTTCTCTTACTCCCACCTTCTCACCATACTTCAGAGGGACGTCAACTATCCTCCCCACTTCTTCGTAGCAACCTCTCATACCCATCCTCTAGGTGGGCGGCGACAGCTTCCCTCCTTGCGTCACGTGATCACCACTCGGCCAATGATGTTCAGCCGGGCGTGTGCGGTCCAGCGGGCTTTGTTTCAGGAAAAAAAAATATATCTTGCTAAAAAAAAAAATGATCTTGTTCTTTTCCTTTTCTTTCCTTAATCGCAGCTCTCATTTTCTCTGGCCACCAACAGAACAATGCGACCAGTGGTGTCATAAATTCTATTTTTCATCTGGTCCTCGTCAGTCAGATTTTCGCTAATTATCAGAATGGGTGGTCAGCAAAACATCGTCCTCTCGAAAAAACAGCTCCATTGTTCTAGTCATACTTTGGCGCAAATTTCTGATAAAATAGTTTTGTTATCACAGCCAAAGATGTCTTGTAAAAAAAAAACGGTCAGCCGTTACTTCGTGTGCGGCCTGGCAGTTAATTTTTCATATCTATCCAAAGCCCTGTGTTTCACCTGTTCTTTGTCAATTATCAAAAGAACATTTTCAATTAGAGTTTTCTTGGCTAGTCTGTCTGTATCTAATTAGATGTTTTGCCCGCATTAAGCGGTTGTTATCTATCCCCGATAACACAAGTTCGTCGCCAGAACATAGTCGATTCCCTTATCCACTTAGAATTTTTCTGTCATGGTAATGACACTTTTAGCCATTTGCTACTTATCAAAATAACATTGTCAATTGTCTCTGGTCATGTTTTTTTTTTTTTTATCATCCACGCTTGGGTCTCGCCTCTCTTTTCCTTTCTTTCCTTTCTCTTATTCCTTTCTTCTCTTTTTGCCCTGGTAAATGGTGCCACAGTCACAGTCGCAATGGAAAAAAATTATACTGGTCCGGGTGTACGTGCTCGGGTCCCCACCTCAAAAAAAGACCTTGTATCACAACTCGTCTTAGTAGGAAGCCAGAGTAAATACCTAGTGGGGAGACAGAGTAGATAGATAGATAGATAGATAGATAGATGCTAGGTCTGAATCCAAATGACTACAGTTGGGATTTGGAGGAAAAGATAGATTGCAACTTGATATACGGCCAATCAATCTAGAAAAATGCAGGCGGCATATATACATTTCGAAGAACTGCTTCCAGAACATTTTCGAATATATGACACGCTTCTAAAGGCAAAAGCGAGTCCAACATGATATAAGAAAAAAAGTTACTTAATAATGTTAATGACGAGTGCATATACAGAAAAAATATCTGTTGAGGTCAATCGTATATTTATAACGGATTCTGCCTTTTCATTGAAAGTCACTCTACTTAGCCGTAATTTTTTTGTGGTTAAGCAATGTACAGATTCCAA